ATCGAGGGAATAACCCAACGTTTACTTGACCAGCCGTAAAATGATCAACCGCGGCTCAGTCCGGGCATCATCGACAACCCAGACAGACACATTGCGCACGAGCAGAGGACCAGCGGACGTAGATAGCGTAACAGAGCCCAATAAAACGCGGTCGCGAACAAAAACAGGTTCACCATGAACGGTTCCAGAGAGTGGTTAGCACCAGGGATCACATGACAAAGGACACCCGTGGAACGCAAGGCCGTAACAAGGCTAAATTTGACCACCGAGGTGTCAGCACCCGTATCGAGCAAAACAGTAGGTAATGGCACGACGTCTTCAACCACCGCTGCCACCACACTACCCGCAGCCGACACAGTAGCAACCGCCGACGGCGTGATGTTGTTAATCATCGAACGGTTAGGGCACTCGCGATACGAATGGTCACCACCACCACAAGAGCGGCAAGAGCGAGGTCCCGAATGCCGCGCGGACTGTTTAGCCATGCGACCGGCGCTGCGGCCACCAAGGCCACCGGAGCCACCACGGTTGAACTCGCCGCCCCGAGACTGCGCGCGGTCACCAAGAGCCATGCGCACCGGCGGCGGCGACGCAAACGTGACGGAACGGGTGGGAGGGCGGGAAACAGCGGACGGTGACGGTGGAGAGGGGGCGACCAGGGTCTGGTGGGGACGGTGTGACACTGTTTGAACTCGCGACGTCGACCGTTCGCGTTCCCAACGCATGTTGGAACTCATTGCTACATGGAGATAATCAATAAATTCCAACGTGTTCTACTTCAAACGTTTGTTGGCGTTGCGATTCAATTCGTCGACCACCGTTGCTTTGAAATCTGGCGGAGCCAATGCGTCCACCAAGTACGCAACAACCAGTTTTGATTCGGCTTCCATCATTGACGTCATGGACAACTTTTCGAGTATAGTATCCATTGCGTGCATCAAATTGGAAATTCGACTCTTGGAATCGGTGAGTGATAAGTTGACTCGCAGTTCCTTCATTTGTTTGTCAAATCAATGACGCCCAGATCGTTGCCTTCTCGGAAATAGTTTATCCATTCCTCTTTAGAAATGGTCTCCTCCGGTTTCCGGAGATCATATTTTGCAATACGATTGCGTCGCGCGTCGGCAATGCACGCGCCCACAGGCATCACATAGGGCTGAAAACCGAGCTGACGAAGGGAAGCACATTGAAGCCAATACTCTTGGTACTGTTGCATGAACTTCTTCTCCAACGCAGTTGAACCATCATAGCGTGGACGAGACGGAGTGTGCGGCATGCCTTGGAGGCGGGTTGGGCCGGCATACTGGCTCGCGGCTGGTGGTGTCGGCAGGTTGTCGGCAGTATCACCAGATTGTTGGTCGTTTTGGAGACCTTCACTCACACTCAAGGCGAAAGACGCACGTTTCAAAGGGTCTGAAAACGGTCCTTGCACGTAAATTTCGGGTGTCAGAGGCATTGTCATGACGGAGAATCTAGGACCCGATCCCAAATCCACACGGCCAAATAAGTCTGCCAAAGACGCAGCAGAGTCGCGGCGTGCCTGGGCATTCGTTTGGATTGAATGGCGGCTGTGATCTCCGGTGCACCAGAGTCGCCATATCCCGGGGCTGCCTGGTCAGGCTCAGTCGGCGGAGACTGGGAGACTTGGTCATTCACGTTCGCGTCGGGGGTGTGGGCGGTTGTGTCAGGGACCAGACTGTCATCAACGGCGAGATCTTCCGAACTTGCTAAAACGCGAGAAATCAAGCTCATCCTGAGAGCGCTGAGGATTCTTCCACGACAGAAAACTAGTTTGATCTGAGCCCCGGATGAGGTAGCTGTGTGCACAAGTGTGGAAATGGAAAACTGGGTTAGCGATAGCAGTTAGCGGGCAAAGAGAACTACACTCATAACGACTAGGGCAAGCCATGATGCACGTAGCTAGCTAATGCTGATCAGGTTACCATGACTCACACAAACTCCAAATGAGCTGGCCAAACTTAATAAAGGGGGCCCCAGGACCCACACTCTCGACCAAGCTTGGAGAGCAAACATGAATGAGCAAATGCAAACAAATGCATGACACACGGGTGATGCCACAACTTCATCACCCGTGGTCTTCTGAATGTGGCTCTAAGCCACGTCACCAAACCAGATGGTCTTCCGTGCGCTTCTTCTTGCCATAGCTGTTGGAATCTCTCAGAAACGTCGTCAAGAGGTTCCGGGAGCGTCCAGTGTGCCGTTTTCTATCGTCGATTGGCAATCCTGTCAGTTTCAGGTGCAGGATCGTAATCTTCTATTCCTCGGAGAATTGTGTCCCTCGTGGCATGGTTGGACCTACGAAAGTCATAGCAATGATAGAGTTCAGAACGGCGAGTCGATTGATGTATCTTGAAGCATGATGGCTTGCTTACTTGCGGAGGAAATGTCCTATATTTATTTCCACCCTCTGATTCACATTTCAAGAATACAGTGGGTAACTTTTGCGCGCCACGTCCAATTGCGCTTTGAATGAACCCACACTCGGGGCCCTGTTAATTGGTCCAATTTGCAGGACATTTTGACCTACCTTCGACGACGAGTTATCCGAATATTCGATATGTCCTATAATTATATCCGCCGCTGTTGTACGAATGTCAACTCGGAGAACGCAGTCTGCCCGTGCATGCACCGATCCAGAGCAGTAAATGTAGCAGAAACGCTAAAAAGGAGTTTGCGCTGGGCAGTTGGCAGCCCAACTTTGAACAAACAGCCTCGGTGTCCAGGGCGATAGTAAAGTCAATCGTGGCAATCGAATGCGCGCGCTTCACGCAACAGGAGTCGTGCAAGTACCCATGGTTTTGAAATCAACAACTGCATCGAGATGCCTGCACGTGCACAGTCCTCGCCTGCCACATGCCCGTCACGAATAAGAATTGGAAACCCGCCACACACAATGCATCACCACGTCCGTGTGGCGCGTACGGTGCTTGTATGGGGTGGTGTTGTAGCGCCTGAGGTAACACTGATCCCAACTGGGCTGGCCACGAAGGCGGATGCAAGGCGCGAGGAACAGCACGATAAAACACCGCTCCACTCGCGGTCCTTTCCATCCGAGCAAAAGAAAATCGGGCGGCCGTTCACAGTTCGTCGTGTCTTGGAATTTGTATGTGGCCGCATGAATGCAATTCGGTTTCGTCAACGCCCAGCATTGTACCAAAAACTGCAAGGCAGTCATTGTGCTGCGAATGGATCGATAGGGGGGGGCTCACGACGGTGGGCATCGTCGTCCAGCCCGCGTATCGCACTTCCGCGGCGATGCGCGACGCTCGGTGCTAGCGATGAGTGGGCATTGGACGCCGAGTGTGCTCGCCACTATTCCAACGTCCGTTGGCCTTCCAACTAACGGTCGCCCTCGTCGGAGCTGGATCTTTGCTTGCATACACGGAAAAATATTACGGCACAGATACCTTAAAAATTGTATGGAATTTTATTGCTTTGGGCGTTGCACGAATTCTATAATTAGACGCGCGGCATGAACTCTCAATGTACTCTCCTTTTTGCCTTTCTCTTCGTATGATTTTGTTGAGACTCTCCTCTGTTGAGAAGGTGCTCTCCATGCGCCCTCGCATTAAACGTCGGCAACTTGCTAATTTTGTGGGCAGGACGAACCAAGAAGTGCCGCCACGTGACGACGAATGGAGGAACCAGGGCCAGTGCTATCATCGGGAGGAATCGCGCACGGACGAGGCCACATGATGGAGAACGACAGGAACAGCGAGCTGACCGAGATGTGCCACTTCAACGGGTGCGCCGAACGCGTCCGACCCGGGACCCGCAAGTGTGCCTTTCATCGAAAGAAGGGCATCTGCCATATTCACAACTGCCACAACCAAGTGTACGCCCGTGGTCTGTGCGTCCGCCATGGCGCACGGAAGCCCTGCAACTTTCCAAAGTGTGAGGGGTACGCACGAAACGGAGGGTTCTGCACGAGGCATGGCGACCGACACCCGATCAAGCTGTGCTCCGTTCAAGGATGCCAGAACAAGGCACATGCGCGGCAAAAGTGTGTGCGGCATGGCGGTGGCCAAAAGTGCAAAGCAGACGGATGTGACATGCATGCGCGGACAGGGGGGTGGTGCTCCCGCCACACGCCCATGGATGACGCAGATCGGTACAGAATCAAGCCATTTCGACCCCCCACTTTGGAACATACCAAGCCGTGCGCAGGCATTTCAATGCACGACATTTGTCACTTGCTGTCAGCGTCCTACGGCCTCCCAACGCTGGTCAACATGAACTTGGCTCAGTCGTGCACCGCCCTGCCGTCGATCAAGCTCTCGTCCGACAGCAAGCCTTACTTCATCGTGCATGACTTTCCAGACGACGACGAATTGTCGGATCAAGAGACATGTAATGTGGCCGTGCGTCGAGTGTAAACACCCCAATTTAGAGGTATCCCAGATATGACACGAGCAACGCTGGGGCCACTGCAGTGTACAGTGTGTAAAAGCCACCACTCGGATCGAGTATGCCTTGCCCCAGTCATGCTTCCTATCGGATGTACTTTGGCGCAGGATGTCTCCTGGGTTGTGTTGAAGTCGTCGGGTGCGGATGATGTGCAGCGTGATCTGGTGCATCCCACCCCGAGTCGCGTTCATTCGTGTGGGTGCGTGGTGAGAACAACTCCACTCACGGCATCGACCGCCGAGACAGAGCTTGCTTGGATCGAGTTGCGTCCATGGCAATGCCGCGTCGGCTGTCGTTCGACGATTCATTCGTTTCACTTGGGACAGTGGACTGTGGTAGTAGTGCTCGTGGGAAATGCACGGGGTGTTGGAGCCCATCCTCGTCGGCCATGGCTGCGAATTTCAGGGGCAATTGCCGTCCGTGGCGTTGTTGGAGAATTCCTTCGTGTCTGCACTGGCGGTCGGTGATAGGCAGCACGGGGTCACCGCGGGAGGTTGCGCTCTCCGAGTTGGCATGCACAGTCGTATTGATGCGTTCGTCTAGTCGCTCGTGTCACTGGCACTGTCGTACATCATGTCAAAAGTACTTCCCTTCCCTTCGCTGCGCAGGGCGTAGAAGATTCCGGTGCCCCATTGACTTCACTTGTTTGGGGCACATGTGTTCCTTCAAACACCATGATGTGATCGTCGTCCAGCGCCATGTCGAGGCGATGGGGATCATGAGCACGGTGGATCCTGTACACTCTTGGCGGGATCACGCGCTGCAAGTCCTAGTCCGTTTCGTGGTCCGTCGCTTTATCCTTCATGACAATACGGTACTGGCGAAGCAGAGGTCACGCCATGTATAGGTCTGGCGCTCGCCGACGCTGTCGATATCGCGGTTCTCTTCCACGATGCTCTGGAGCATGTCTACTTTACTCGTGATTCGACCAGTGAGCCACATATTGGACAAGACGTCCCATAAATCGGCGTCCGGTACTGGTCGAACGGGTGCAAGAACGATCGCAGCATGCCCTTGAACAGGATCGGATTCTGAGGGATGATGACCACACTCAACCGTCGTCCCCGCAATTCCTAGCGAGTTCAAAGCGCAGCTAGCTTTCACATTCAAGACAATGCCAAAGACAATTCCATCAAAGATCAGGTCGTTTACACAGAATGCAGTGGTGTTGTCGACGCCTCGACCGCGGGTTATGAGGAGAATGGAAGGTGAAGACGTTCGAGAAGCTCCAGGTTGTGAATCATGTTGCCACGTAATGTTCGCCTCTGTTCACTTCATGTCACGTCTATTTTGTGCGGTTCCTCCTGTCGGAAATTTCCCAGATTATTCGAAGAACGCAATCAAACACACAATTTATCATCTACAATTGAAGAAGGCTTCAATTCACATGTTCCTCTGTTCCATATTACTGCCGATATTAGATAGATTTTGCAAAAGCAAATTAAACTGTGAAAGTTCGAGAAACTTCCACAGTGAAATTTCCTGTGGGAAATGATTTTGCAAAGGCAAAATTCTTTGTGAGCCGCAAGTGTGTACCATGACTGATGAGAGCGTTCTTCTGACTGCCTTGGCGCTTCTGCTTCACGACTCCCAGAATCACACAAGGGACATACAAATACCACGGTCGAGATGTAACTTTATGACGCAAACCGACGCCACGTGCGAGTTCCATTTCCGTTTCTCCAAGGGGGAGATTCATCAGCTTGTTCATCTGCTCCACATACCCGACCCAGTCATCACGCCTCAGCGATACCACGCAAGTGCAACAGAAGCTCTATGTATCCTATTAAACCGTCTGGCTTGGCCACATCGACTTGGCACCATGGTCTTGCTCTTTGGACGAAGCCGTGAGGCACTATCAGTTCTCTCGAATGCAGTTCTGTGTCACATTTACTATCGATTCAAGCATGTCCTTTACTGGGATGAAGCTCGTCTGAACGGCCCCTGGATGGAGAATTGCGCTGCCGCGATCCGCAGAAGAGGAGCCCCCCTTGATTGCTGTATTGGTTTCATCGACGGAACAGTCCGAGGTATTTGTCGTCCTGGTCATGGTGTTCAAAAGACGGCGTTCAACGGCCATAAGGTATGCACGAGTCTTGAAAATTCCCTCATGCTAACTTTGATTTGTAGAGAAAGCACGCTATCAAGTTTCAAGCTATTACAAGTCCTGATGGAATAATTGTTCACCTGTATGGTCCCGAGCCTGGTTCTCGCCATGATGCGTATTTGCTCGAGAGAAGTCAGATCGTTCATCATTTGGCCGACAAACTTTTGTGGAATGGGAAGCGCTACATTATTTACGGGGATCCAGCCTATGGCGTCAATGATGTCATTGTGTGTGGTTACAAAGGAGCCCGGCTCGACCCATTTCAAGCAGCCTTTAACAGTCGGATGAGTGCGGTCAGAGTAAGTGTAGAGTGGGGCTTTGGAATAGTCCGAAACCTTTGGACTTTTATTGATCATGATGGCACTCAAAAACTTTGGGGGCAGGCTGTTGGAATGCAATATGCTGTTGCTGTCATTTTGACAAATATTCACACATGTATTAAAGGAGGGAACCAAGTTTCAGACTACTTCGGCATTTCTCCTCCAAGTCCTGAAACTTATCTCAATTGTAAGTCCTCGAAAAGAAGCTGAATATCATGGTCATCTTACATCTTGTTCAAAAATGATTTAAGAACCTCAAGAGTACCTTGCATGAATTCTAACTGTGCTTCTCGTTCTCGGCGTTCTAAGCTGAAGCGTGCCTCACGCTCAGCTTTGTCGAGCTCATATCGCTTCTCCTCCAACTCCAATTTTTGCTGCGTCAGCAAGTTGTTATCGCGCTGAACTCGCACTTCGTTCGCTTTCACTTCATTAGCCTTGGCGACCATCTCCACCAAGGATGCAACAACAGCAGCAGTGTCTGGAACGCGTTGTGAGCTACGTCCTTGTTTTCTATTGGGCTCCTCGAGACTGTCGTCATCTTCACAAAGCTTCCTCTTAATTGTTGTCATGGCAGCATCGCGAATTCTTTCGCCATCCGATTCACGTCGCTCATTCTGTCTTGCCTTCTCGTCCTTGCAGGCTTGCTTCTTGACCGACGCCGTGTCCACCTTTCAAAAAGCTGTTAGAGTAAAAGGTCACCAAGCAGAGCATACCAAGTCGTGATTGTCTTGAAGGAGCTGTTCCCGCTCCTCATACTCCTCTTCAGTCCCAGAAGCCCGAAGCGCTGCCATTGTTTCCTCTTGAAATGCCGTCATGAGGTCGTCGAACCTTTTTCGCGTTGCGTTGACTGTTATTCCCGTTCCGTAGATGCGTTGCAAGTGCTCGGAGACCTCTGTCCACCGCTTTCGAACCTCTCCATAAGGAGCCTCAAACGGCCTCACGTGGTTTACCTCCTTGAGGAGCTCGACGTCCGTGCATCCCTTGAACCTGAACGCTGTATTGCGCCTCAAGGCAAACTGGGCGTCAACCTCAGCGTCCTCTTCCATTCAACAATGACCAAGGTGTCTCACAGTGGAATTTGTTGTCTCTGTGAGAATTTCTGACAATGAATTTTCTGGAACAAATTTCCCTGTGGGACTCTCACAGTGATTTTCTCACAAGGATTTCTACTTTGCAAAATCACTCCATTTGCAAATCACACTTTTTCAATATAACTTATTACATTTCAATTCGATTGGTCAACAAACGAGAATACTACGTGTCATTGGTTAAAAAACCTGAATGGCCACTTACAGCCAAGAAGTGAAGCAGGGCACGAGAAATTGGACATGAGCGCCCTGGCACGACGCAAGGCATCCTTCCTCAAATGC